AAGTATTCCATAAAGTATATGTGCCACAGTTTTTCAATCCATTCATCCATATGGGGGCATTTGGGTTCTTTCCATGTCTTAGTAATTGTGAATAGTGCTGCAATAAACATCGATGTGCAAACACTTTTCCAACGAAGGATTCTTAGTGTCTTGTAGATACATAATCATTCAATAAATCACTTGCTGTCATTATCATTATTAAAAATTTCCTTATTTTTAAGCCAATATAAATTGGGGTTTTCAAATACTTGCGGTTTAAAGCATCCTACTGAATATAATAATTTTGAGATAGTTATTTATAAGCTTTAGAGACTAAGAAATTTTTATTATTACATAGTTGGGGACTGAAATACATACAGATAAATTAGAACAGATCATTGGTTGAAATAATCCATTCTCTTTCAAATTAGCACTGTTTGATAAGTACTCAAATCTCTGATTATCAAAAACGAGTTCACAAGTGAGCAAGGGGACTTACTTCATTAGGACTTTATGTATACATACTTTTACATAATAGAGTCTCTTTCAAAAAACTAGAATACTTATTTTTCTAAATCAGGAGCTTCCTAAATCTCAGCAGAAAATGTAAAAATAATGTAGATACATTTATATAAGCATTTTATCATATATATATGTATGTATATTATATATATATATGCATTTATATATACATATATGTTCATGACTATATATGCATTTATATATATATATATATATGTTCATGACATACAAAAAGGATATTTTCTTTCCATTTGTTTTTAGTAGTAATTAGCATTATATTATTTTCTTTTGCTTTTCTGACTTAAATGTTTTATAACACAATAACAACACACAGTTTTATCACTCGCTACTTTTTTTTGAGAGAGGGTGTGAGCACTCATTGGAGAGACAGAGAGAGAAAAAGTGAGAAATTACCTCATGGAGGGATGGTCATGCCGCAATCCTCTCTCCTCCATTTTCCTCTTGGAATTTTGGGCATGCAAGCACATGCACCCGTGTGAGTTTAAGCCACTGGGTCCAGGACTCAAACTGCAGTCAATTACATGGGAGTCCAGGAACATAACCATTATGCCACCAGCTGGTCCCTACCACTCCTGGTTTTAATGAGAATTTTGTTGTAGCCAAATCATCTTAGAACATGGGACCCATGATAGGCACAATATCATGGAGTGGTCTTATATTGATATGTTGAGACAGGTTGTGATAGTGTCACATAGACTGGACAAGTTTAGTGTGTATGAGTATAGCATTGTGCTTATTGATGGCTAATATTAACAATGGGATTAAGATCTGTAAATCCAAAGTGACAACATATAGCAAAGACATAAGCTTGGTTTATTTATTAAATCATTTACTAGAAATTAATTCTTGCCAAAAGGTTAGAAAAGTACCATATCATAAGCCAGCAGAATAATAACATAAACTGTATATACTCCTTTGGGTCAAGAAGTAGTCCAAGTCTTTGTATGATGGATGGGTTATACCAACAATTAATCTGTTGTATCACATGAACGTCAAAGGGCTTTTTTACAGTTTTATGCTGAAAATATGTTTTGTTTAAGAAAACAACCTGTTATATTCACCAAGGCAAAATCTTCCCCTTATTTCACCAAAGGATAATGGACATTTTAATTATCATTATTATTATTATTATAGGACATTTAAAGCCTGAATGTTTCTTCTCTGTGTGGACAATCACAAGTAAATCTAAGAAAATGTTATTTAATCCATTCAAAAAACTATGTATTTGAGTAATTCATTTAGCAAATAATAATCTGGTTCACTTTAGCTTACAAAAGCCACTTCCTAGACATTAAAAATTTGGCCTAAACTGCATACTTACAATGATCGTGGTGAAGGCTAAATGCTGAATAAAATTCTCTTATTTCATACTTTACTACAATACATTAATATGGTTGAATTCTACTTTTTCAATTAATACTAACAGTGTAAATGAAAAATTCAAATAGAAATCTTTGGCCTGCAAGTAGTACTGAAAACTCAATATGATGAAGTTGCAATTCCAGAATTTCATAAACATCATAATTAATCTTTTAAAGCATAACAAACAATTTACAAAAACTTTTTATTCAAAAGTACCTACACTTATAAACAGCCATCTTTCATTATTTAATTAAACAAAAGCATATTTTCTGATACTAAATTTCTTTATTTTATTTTTTTTTAAGAGGTTTTTGGTACAGGGAGCATGTGCATGCCAGACAGACAGAGAGAGACAGAGAGACAGAAAGCAAGAAATCTCCCCCCAGGGGGGATAGCCACGCCACAATCCCTTCTCCTCCATTCTCCTCATGGGATCTTGGGCGCACACGCACATGTGCCTGGCGTGAGTTTAAGCCACCGGGTCTCGGACTCAAACTGCGGTTGACTACATGGGAGTCTAGTAACATAGCCATTACGCCAACTGCTGGTCCCTATACTAAATTCTTTTAAGCACACTTCACTGCAAAATATAAGACCTGTCAAGAACTTATACTCAGATTAATGAATAATAAAATAAAAATTTTATAACCAGATTTTTTAGTATCTCAATGGGTATTTTTTTTTGGAGAGGTTTTTGCTATAGGGCGCGTGCGCTCGCCAGACAGACAGAGAGAGACATAGAGACAGAAAGCGAGAAATCACCCCCTGGGGGGATGGTCACGCCGCAATCTCTTTACCTCCATTCTCCGCTCGGGATCTTGGGCACGCACACACACGCGCCTGGTGTGAGTTTTAAGCCACGGGGTCCAGGACGTGAACCGCGGTCGACTACGTGGGAGCCCAGCGACATAGCCATTACGCTAAATGCTGGTTCCCTCAATGGGTATTTTTACATTACTTTCTTGTAACAACATTTAGTAAGATTTAAGAAAGTCTAACTATATTTCTGGCAGGTAAATTTCCTTAAAGCTAGCTTGTTTACATACTAAGATTACCTGTCTGACATCTGAGTTTATTACCCCAATATCATTATAAATATGCCACTTTAGGAAATAATATTTGAAGGAAATCCTTTTACCCTTTCTCCAATGGGTCCCAGTTGTCCTACTTCTCCAGGAGAGCCAATAAAACCCTTAAAACAAGAAAATAATCTATATCATATCAGATGAATAATTGATGCATAAATAATTCTGCACAAAAGTACACTTAAGTTTTATTTAAGTAATATGAATTTGTAAGACATAAAGCATGAATAATTTGGGCCAGCTCAAGACCTAGTGGTTAAGGTGGCTAGATTTCACATGGCTGACTGCCCCATTTGAGTCCTGAAACTGGTGGCTTGAAAAACATACTGGATGTGGGCACATGCACTCCCAAAATCCCAAAAGAGGAAAATGGAGGAGAAGGGACTGTGGTATGACTAGTCCAATGGGGGATACTTCTTCTTTCTATTCCTGGCAAAGCACTCACAGACTCTCTGGCAATTTAAACTATATATAAAGTAAGTGTGTGTAAATATATGTGTATGTGTATAAAATAAATTTTATGTATATTATAATATACATATAAATTATATATGCATTATATGTTATATATATACATATATACATTATATATTATATACACACATCTATATATGTATATATGTTAAAATATTTATATGTGTGTGTGTGTATGTGTGTATATAAAAGAAATTATGGATAACTTCCTTTTCTTTCAGAAGTTACAGATCAAAATTTTCAGTAAAATATATATTTTTATAGGTAACATAACTTAAGACATGACAACTGATAAAAATCAACAAGAATGGGCCATGGCAGCAGGATAAGGATTCAAAGCACATGGTTGGGGGCAAGCAGTTGATGTGGTGGTTAAAGATGCTGGACTACCACATGACTAACCACGGTTTGCATTCTCACTTTACCTCTCTCTGTGTCTTTTTCTGGTCAAATTTAAAAACAGTAATAATAATTAATAAGGGGCTGGCAGGTAGCATAGTGGTTGAGGGTGCTGGACTCCCACATGGCCAACTGCAGTTCAAGTCCTGGACTTGGTGACTTGCTTTCTCACTCCCTCCCCCATTCTGTCCCTCTCTGGTCAAATTTTAAAATTAAATAGTCAAATTTTAAAAAATTTAAAAAAACAAAAAAAACTATTTCTTTTATTGAATTTGATAGAGGGTAGGAAAAAATATATATCACAATATATAATATATAATATATAATATATATATAATTTGTGTGTGTGTAAATTAAACACACACACACACACACACACACACTTAAACCTAGCTTGTGGGTGTGTGATTGTATGTGTGTGTGTGTATATGTGTGTATAAAATTTAAAGGTATAGTAGAATGAAAGTATCAAACAATTACAAGAAATACAGAACAGAAGGCCAACCTGTGGCTTGGTGGTTAAGGAGACTGAATCCTACATGGCTGACTGTAGATTTGAGGCTTGGATCTAGTGGCTTGAAACAAATGACAGGTGGGTGTGCCTGCATGCCCCAAAACCTGAGAGAACAGAGGAGTAGGGAATGCAGCATGGCCATTCCCCTCAAGGGGTGCTTTTTCACTTTCTCTCTTTCTCATGTATAATACAAAAGAGGAAGAGGTTAATTTCAATTTGATAGGAGGTAAAGGCAATCAAAGATTTTAAAGGAAACTGGTACTTGAGGTACGTCAAGAGAGTAAGTAAAATCTGGAGAAAAGAGGGTCAGCAGGTGGCTTGTTGATTGTGGTAATGGATCCCACATGGCTGACTCTGTAGGTTGAGTTTTGGACCCAGTGACTTGAAAAACATGCCAGGTACTTGTGTGAGCGCCTAAAATCTCAAGAGGAGAATGGTGGAGAAGGAATTGTGATATAGCCATCACCCCCAGGGATGTAAAGTTGGGATGATAGACTTGTTTTTATTTCAAAGAATTGATGCAAAATAGAAGAACATATGAGTGAAAGTATTTGAAAAATTTTAAGAACTTTTAAAATGTAAGCCATCATTATTTAAACATATTGTTTAAATATTTTGTGTTTTACTTATTGCTAAATGGTATTTTAGATAATATAAAGCACAAATGTTGAAAAGAATTAGTTATTAAAACAGAGAGTTAAAACAACTTTAGTTTACTTTTATTAAATTTTCCTAAAACCAGTTTTGATTTTAATTTGTAGCACTTAATATATAATGGAGCTTTGTTTTTTAGTAAAACTCCTCAGTGATTGAAAGAGGTAAAATTTCCTTTAATGGTTTAGAAGTAGAATGAGATGTTCTTGATATAATACGTTTCTTTCTTTACAGATACTTCTTCAATTTTGACAGTTTTTATATCTTATTATCTCAGCCTTGAATTGCAAAATTTCATTACCTCTTAGTATTTTTCTCATCATGATTTCTTAGGTCCATATACATGCACCCAGCGTGTTTTATGCTGCTGGGTCTGGGATTTGAACTATGTTTGGCTATGTGTGAGTCCAGTAACATAACCATTACACCATTTGCTGGTCCCATTAGCACATATTCTTTTTTTTTTTTGTAGAGGTTTTCGCTATAGGACGCATACGCTCGCCAGACAGACAGAGAGAGACACAGAGACAGAAAGTGAGAAATCACCCCCCAGGGGGGATTGTCATGTCGCAATCCCTTCTCCTCCATTCTCCTCTAGGGATCTTGGGCATGCACGCACACACGCCCGGCGTGAGTTACACATGCCCGGCGTGAGTTTTAAGCCACCGGGTCCGGGACGCGAACCGTGGTCAACTACGTGGGAGTCCAGCGACATAGCCATTACGCTAACTGCTGGTTCCCCCATTAGCACATATTCTAACATGTTAAACATTATGCTAGGATTGGAAATTAATAGCAAATAAAGATGTAAAAATTGTTATGTGAATGATTTCTGTGGTCACAAAAGTAAAAATAACTATTAAACATTTTTTTTCAGCTTAAACACATTAAATGCAAAACTTCTAACAAGGTATAAAAATTCTAAGTATTTTGTATATTTCTTTATTCTTTTTAAAAGAATTATTTTATTCTATTTTATTACTCTTTTTTAAAAGAATTATTTTATTTTATTTTGTTGATTATTATTTTTTAATTTGCTATATGGCATATGCACTCACCAGAGAGAGACAGGGGAATGGAGTGAGAAAACAAGTCACCGGTTTTGAGACTTGAACCATAGGCAGCCATGCAGCAGTAGAGTGCCTTAACTACCACACCATCTGCTCTTCCTATGTATTTCTCTTACTCTTATGCAAGGCATTTAAATAAAATGATGTAAATGCTTACTTACTCGTACACCTTTAGGACCTGGATTACCTTCCGGTCCAGCTAAACCCTAGTGTGGACAAAAGACACAGTCATCATACTGTAATACTTCCAAGAATATTTTTAAATATTTTTAATAAATAGATTAAAAAGATTATATTAAAGATTTTTAATAAACAGATTAATAAAAAGGCTATACAAAGAGCTATCATTTCAAATATAAAATTCAGACCTCTGCATACTTAATGAAGATTACAAATGTTGGAGAAATTTCAATTTCAGAATCAAAAAAGGTACTGCATATAATCAATATACAAATATATTTTATATATCTAAATAATGTACAACACATTGTGCAATACAAAAATAAATATTTTCTTTAAATCATTTTTCAGTGGAAAAACTATCTGTTGTTCAAAACATTTCTAATTAACTTATTCTTCTAGACATATATCCAAAGGTCAGGAAATTAGTATATTGTAAAGGCATCTGCACTCCAGCGACTATAGCAGCACTATTCACCACTATTCTCAACAGATAACAGTGAACAACACACATGTCCATTGGCAAATGAAGGGATAAAGAAAAGATGATATGTGTGTATATGTCATACATACACATATTTCTTATGTACATATTCCTTTCATATATTATACATATATTTCATACATACATATGCCTTTTACCACACATATATTTCATACATAGATATATATAATGACATACTGTCATCTGTAGTAAAATGGGCAAGCCTGGAGGACATTATGTTAAGTGAAATAAGCCATGCACAGAAAGAGAAATATCACATGCTCTCATTCTTGTGTTGAGATTGAAAAAAATAACCTCATAAAAGTAGAGAGTTGAAGAATGACTACTAAAGGCTGGGTGGATAGTGATAATAAGAAGATTGAGTGATGTAGGTTAATGGAAACAAAATTATGGATAGATGAAAGGAATAATTTCTAGTGTTATGCAGTACAGTAGAGTGAAAGTAGTTATTAACAATTTATTGTGTATCTTAGAGTAACTGAGAGAGAAGATTTGGATGTTCCCAACACAAAGTAATGACAAATGTTTGAGAAGATGGACATACTAATTAACCTGATTTAACCATATATTATATTCTCATACTGAAAAAAGTCATTTTGTATCCCACAAATATGTAGTACTATTACAATAAAAAATTCCCACACATATCTTAAGAAATGAATATCTTCTCATCTTCAGATCAATACTTATGTTTAATATTAAAATTTTAGTTTTTAAAATTTTAGTATTTAATATTAAAATTTAGTATTTTTCAGAATAACATATACCATCATTTGATAGTGAAAATCTAATTTAAAATAACTCCAGGTATTTGAAAGGTCTAGAAATGGGATTTTATTAACAACAGACTGGTTTTTTGTTTGTTTGTTTGTTTGTTTTACCATTAATGCAACAAAGAAATGTGGTACTATCTGTTGAAGATATTTTATAGTTTTGTCAACTGGACTAGGGAGAAATGTTTACATGTTGAAACATTCACTTTGTAAGCTAAATAATGTGATTGAATGTATAAAAGAAAATGAAGTAAAAAAATGTAAATGAAAAAAAATTTTAAAAGAATTACTTATTTATTTATTCATTTATTTTAATTTGACCAAAGAGAGACAGACAGAGAGAGAGAGAGGGAGAGAGAGAGAAGGGGAAAAGTGAGACAGCAAGTCACGAGGTCTGGGACTCAAACCATGGTTGGCCATGTGGGAGTGACCAGTGCCTTAACCACCATGCCACCTGCTGGTTCTCAGCAATAGACTGTTTTTGTTTTTTTTATTCCCCTCAGACTTGAAAATAAAATAACATTTTATTAACATACTTTTCTACATTTAATTATTTTAGAAGTAATCAACTTAGGAAAACATAGATGACTTGCTCTATTAACAGTCTACAGGAAGTAGAGACAGAAATTAGAAGAAAATAAATATGAAATGATTAGAATTAATTTCAAAAACAGTATACAAAAATACTAAATTCCATTCACATAAAAACTATTTGAAGGAGGATATGAATCACTGGCAACTGCTTCCCAAGTTCTTATAACTACATTGTTTAAAAATTATGTTTACAGGGACCACCAGTTAGCATAATGGCTATGTCGCTGAACTTCCATGTAGCTGACTGTGGTTCGAGTCCTGGACCCGGTGGCTTAAACTCATGCCGGGTGTGTGTGCGTGCATGCCCAAGATCCTGAGAGGAGAATGGAGGAGAAAGGATTGCGGCATGGCCATCCCCTCTGGGGGGGTGATTTCTCGCTTTCTGTCTCTCTGTCTCTCTCTGTCTTTCTGGTGAGCCCATGAGCCCTATAGAAAAAACTTCTCAAAAAAAAAAAGTTATATTTACAGAGTGTCTTAACTCCTACTTCATTTTGGTCAATCACAGTATTATAAAATCAGTATCAGTGCTGTTTTTAATATATTAGACCCTGGGACCAGCAGATGGTGTAATGGCTACGTCGCTGGACTCCCATGTAGTTAACGGCAGTTCAAGTCCCACACCTGGTGGCTTGAACCAACGCCAGGCGCATGTGTGTGTGCTTAAGATCCCAAAAGGAGAATGGAGGAGAAGGGGTTGCAGAGTGGCCATCCCCCCCGGGGGGTGATTTCTCACTTACATCCTCTCTGTCTCTCTCTTTCTGGTGAGCACACGTGCCCTATAGCAAAAACCTCTCAAAATACATACATACATACATACACATATATATATGTATTAGACCCTTGGGCATTTTAATTTTAAAGGTTCTACTGTACAACACATCAAACATATTTAAAAACCCTATTCATACTTGAAACAAAACTTGCTGCAATAAAGTTTTTAAAAGATCTTTATAAATTTGATTCTGAAATTATTTCTTTAAGAGTAATTTACTCATAAAAAAACATAACCCACTTTCACTGACTACTTATTCTCAAAATCAGAACATAATATATTAAAGAAGTATAATTATAGTTACTGCACCTGCCTGCCAGGGTAACCAGGTGAACCAATATTACCAGTGAGTCCTGAAATCCCCTGAAATGAAAAATAAAATGAATAATACAGTACAATAAAACCAGAGGTAACAAGTTTGATTCTTTTATAACGTCCACATTTGAAGATAACATTTTCTCTATAAAAATACTGAATCCTGCTCATTGCTTGTGTGACTCAACTCACCTAATAAAGGCAAATGGGTCCAAATTGCTAAATAAAAATGAGCAAAATTGTTAGATTAGGACCCTAAATGACTTAACAACCATTAATAATGATAAGTTTGGGATGTACAAATCCAGTGCTACATTACTAGGGGAGATATTTATTCTAGAGGAAGAATTGGTACCTTTCTTAATAACCACCGTGTATTTGGGATTGAATTCATTCTTGTCTCAATCATCCTGTAACACTATTACCTGTCTGACCATAAGCCTCAGAAAACCAAGAGGGGCAGAGAACTTCAAAACCAATCTCATTTTAAACATACAAATTTATGGGCACAGTGTGGCTTTTCAAAACACGTAAACATTATGTCATGATCAAATAGAATAATAAATATAGACTTTATCTTTACTTTGTGTAGTGTTCATTCAAAATTTTGAACATTGACTAATCAACATTGTTATACTACTGTGCTACAGTCCTCTAGAACTCACTCCACCATCTACCTGCACTCCTGTATCTGTTAACCAAATTCTCTCCACGTCCATTTCCTCCCCTTTCTGGTTTCTGGCATCCACCATTACATTCCATACTTCTATGCAATTGAGTCTTTCAGCTTCCACTGAAAAGTGAGGCTATGAAGCATCTCTTCCAGTGCCTGGTTTATTTAACTTAGCATTACTTCTGCTAGCAAAATCAATAGCTTGTTCCTTCCAAAAATAAACCTAAATTTAGAGCAAGTCTGTTAAATAAATGAACTTAAGTGGTAAATACCTTTATCATAACATGGGTCTATGAAGATTCATACAGTATATTCGAAGGGTGTTATAGAATCAAAATTCATATGTTGAAATCCTAACCCTAATGATAATGCCTAATGGTATAAGGAAGTGAGACCTTTGGTAGGTAATTAGGTGATAAGGGTAGAGCCCTCATGAATGAAATTGTGCCCTTATAATGAGAGGTCAGAAAATTAGTTAACTCTCTTTCTACCACTTAAGGATACAATAAGAAGTTGACAGTCTGCAATTCAGAATAGGGTCCTCATCAGAACCCGACCACTGACCTCAGATATTCAGACCCTAGAACTGTGAGAAACAAATTTGTATTGTTTATAAGCCATCTAATCTATGGTATTCTGCTACAGTAGCCTAAACTGACTTAGACAGTAAACTCACTGGAATTCACAGCTTTGTTATTGTTTATTTAAACCAAGATTTGCTCAAGGAAGGTTGATATATGGGAGCTCAAAGCATAGAAAGGAAAATTTCTATGGCAAGTGAAAAAGTGAGTAGAAAAGTGAGAAAAAAATCTCTTTTTCTTTCTTTCTTCAATAGTTCATTCATTAATTGATTGATTCATTCATCAATCTAGTCAGATTTTAGATCTATTAAATAATTCTTGTACCAAGAAAATGCCAGAAGAACATATGATGAACTGCTTTTACTTAGCTTCAAATGGGGACAATGGTTGAGTTTTACAGATTCCTTCTTCATTGTGTAAAATTTATTTCCTGCTCATTGAGTTTAAAAGACATAAAAGAGAACAGCACTTTGTCCTTCTGCTCTGGACAAGAGTCTTACCTCCTGTTTTAGTGTAGGAACACTGAAACTCAAAAAAATCGGAAAATCTAGAGAAAGAACAGACCAGCCAGTCTAATTCCAGAGACCACCATTCAAGTCTGCCTCCCTAATATGGATTTGAAGTGCAACTAACTTCCAAAAGCACTAGGGGAAGCCCTCTGATTATGAGATTTGATCCAGTGTATTTACGATGGCTTTCCTTTATGCCCCATCCAATTCCAAAACTCACAGACTATATGTAAACATTCATATAACTTCATATTTGTGTATGCCAGTAGAAAGGAGTGAAACTAATATAAAAGGCTGTTTTTATTCTGTAGGTCACTGAATATCTGGCAACTGCCCTTCCTTTTGCATTCCTTTCCTATCCGAATTAGGTTAATTGACCTCAATGAAAAAGGAAATCTTGTAGATAATCACAAAATAAGCAAAATGTGATTTTGAACAGATTTTCATCAAATGTGTTAAGGCAACAAACATGCAGAGCTCTGACTAACACATTCCAGCTACAGGAGGAAAACATAACAGAATTCCTCTCAATGTCTAAATTCTGCTATACTAGAATAGCAGGAAAGAAGGTAAACAAAGTAAACTTAAGCATAGTCTTTACAGGGTATAAACATGTTCTGAGTCAACCACACCCTAAAATCACTGCAACAACCACAGAAACTCAAGACACTCAAGACAAACACCATGACTCAATTTACTCTGCATTTAAAAATGGATAAAAAGAAAAGCTTGCTCACTCAAATCTGTAAGTTGGATGGAGAATGAGAAATAGTTATACTAGCCCCATGAGAAATTAGAGATTGGAAATTAGGAAATCTGCCTCAATCTCACTTCTCACTCTAGGCATTAAAACACATATTCTTATTAGTCAGCCTTCATTCAACACTGATGCTATGGGTCCTGTCTATACCTTAGTTTTCATATTAGTAAAATGGAATAATAATACCTAAATCACAGTATAGTTGTGTGGAGAAAATAGAACAATGTGTAGAAATACATTTAAAAGTTAGAGTAGCAGTGGTGTTGAACATTAAATTGGTTAACATATGTAAAATACTGCATAAAAATTAAACTACTAGAAGTTACAGTTAATAGTAGTAGTGTTTAACAAATAATAGGGCTCAATAACTGGTAACTCTTATTACTAGAGCTCACATAGATGATTCAGTCACCTTTCTAAGTGTTTGCTGACCAATTTACAGATATTTACAAGTTTTCCAGAAGTGGCTATCTTCTAGTAAATCAGTTATGCTCTTTTTTTCCCCCTTAAATGTGTTTATTTTATGATAGAGAGCTCATGAGAGAAAGAGAAAGAGAGAGAGAGAGAGAAGCACCATTAACAGGTCTATGTCATGCTGCAATCCCTTCCCTGGCCATCCAGTTCATCATAACATAAGGCACACATACAAGTACCCAGCGTGTTTTCAAATTGACCCAGGAAACGGAACCAGTATTCAGCCATGTAGTACTACAGTTCAGTTTACCACCAACTGTGCCACCAGGCCAGGTCAGCTCTACTCCTCTTAATGTCCACAGTGGTTTTTAAAGTTAAAATGGGGGCCGGCAAGTGGCATGGTGGTTAAAGGCGCTGGGCTCCCACATGGCTGACCAGGGTTCAAGTCTCGGACCTGGTGGCTTGCTTTCTCACTTCCTCTCTCTCTCTCTGTCTCTCCCTGATCAAACTGGAAAATAATGATGATAATAATAAATAAATAAAGTTAAATTAAAAAAAATTAAAAAATAAAGTTAAAATGAAAATTGATTTCAGTTGTTCCTCAAAGTCAACACCAATTGTGCCTCTTCATGTTTTGTTTGTTTGCTTTACTTTTTGTGGAAACAAATAGAATAGAAAGCAAAAACTGACTCTAAATTACATTGTCCAATCTTTAAAACAGATTTTAAACTCTTCTAAAAATTAGGCTACCCTCAGAATAACAACATGTATACTAACAGAACTAGATCATAGAGCAATTGTAAGATAAATAGTCAGTACTGACACTTGGTCAATTTTTCACTTGAAAATTATCAGGTTTTTTTTCATTGGAATCCTCATGTTTCTGCCAAAGCAGTATTCTAGATTTTCTTTTCCCCCTGAGAAACTAATCTCTATCATTCTTCTAATTTCTTTATTTTCCTCATAAATGCTCAAGTGTTTTCAGCACTTGTTTAATCTTCAGGAAAACTAGATTGCACCGGTTACAGATGCATATATTGTTTTGCTTGCCATGTCTCTTTATTAGTAATTTTTAAAATTTGCCTCAGGGACTGAAAAAAAATTATGAATAAAAGTAAAAATTGGCTTTGTGTCTTCACTTATATCTTTCCCTCATGGACTATCCATCAGATTTATTCCTTGAGCTCCCTTTATAGCTTCCTGAAGCTCTTTGCTAATTTTCATGTGTGTGTGCATGAGAGAGGTTTTCTTTGCTATAGGGCACAATGCACTCACCAGAGAGACAGAGGCAGAAACTGAGAAATTATCCCTGGGGGATCGTCATGTCACAATCCCTTCTCCTCCATTCTCCTCTAGGGATTTTGGGTGCATGCACACACACACACACACACACACACACACACACACACTCAGCATTAAGTTTCAAGCCAAGGGGTCCGGGACTTGAACCACGGTGGACCATATGGGAGTACAGTACCTTAATCACTATGCCATCTGCTGGACCCAACTTAACTGATTTTTAAAATAATGGTATCTATCACCTTCGTCATTTCTTTCTTTCTTTTTTTTTTTTTTGGAGAAGTTTTTGCTACAGGGCATGTACGCTCGCCAGAAAGACAGAGAGAGACAGAAAGTGAGAAAGCGAGAAATCACCCCCCCCTACCCCCGCGGGATGGCCATGCCTCAATCCTTTCTCCTCCATTCTCCTCTCGGGATCTTGGGCACGCACGCACACGTATCCAGCATGAGTTTAAGCCGCCGGGTCTGGGACTCGAACTGCGGTCGACTACATGGGAGTCCAGCAACATAGCTATTACGCTAACTGCTGGTCCCCACCTCCATCATTTCTAATCACCTACCTCTTTCATTGTTTTATTCATACTGGCTTAGTACCTACTACTGAAAATGAGATATGACTGTATTTTTGCTTATGATATAATGACATATTCTTTTATGGTAGGAAACAGAAGCAATAACAAGATCAAAAATAGTTTCAAAACTAGCGCGTGTGCTCCCCAGAGAGAGACAGAGAGATAGAAAGCTAGAAATCACGCCTCAGGGGGGATGGCCACGCCACAATCCCTTCTCCTCCATTCTCCTCTCGGGAGCTTAGGCACGCACGCACACACGCCTGGCGTGAGTTTAAGCCACCTGGTCCCGGACGCGAACCACGGTCAACTACATTTTTTTTTTTTTTGGAGAAGTTTTTGCTACAGGGCATGTACGCTCGCCAGAAAGACAGAGAGAGACAGAAAGTGAGAAAGCGAGAAATCACCCCCCCCTACCCCCGCGGGATGGCCATGCCTCAATCCTTTCTCCTCCATTCTCCTCTCGGGATCTTGGGCACGCACGCACACGTATCCAGCATGAGTTTAAGCCGCCGGGTCTGGGACTCGAACTGCGGTCGACTACATGGGAGTCCAGCAACATAGCTATTACGCTAACTGCTGGTCCCCACCTCCATCATTTCTAATCACCTACCTCTTTCATTGTTTTATTCATACTGGCTTAGTACCTACTACTGAAAATGAGATATGACTGTATTTTTGCTTATGATATAATGACATATTCTTTTATGGTAGGAAACAGAAGCAATAACAAGATCAAAAATAGTTTCAAAACTAGCGCGTGTGCTCCCCAGAGAGAGACAGAGAGATAGAAAGCTAGAAATCACGCCTCAGGGGGGATGGCCACGCCACAATCCCTTCTCCTCCATTCTCCTCTCGGGAGCTTAGGCACGCACGCACACACGCCTGGCGTGAGTTTAAGCCACCTGGTCCCGGACGCGAACCACGGTCAACTACATGGGAGTCCAGTGACATAGCCATTACACTAATTGCTGGTCCCAAAACTAACTTGACTTTTAAATAGTATATACATGTTTTATGGACGACAATCTATATACCATTATAATTTGAATTGTTATTAAAATTTACTTGCAAAGATTGGAGAACTAATAGTTTTCATAAATAGGCAGGCCCCTGAAACTGTACAAAGCATAAGGTATGTGTATGTGTATAAATACATTTCTTTTCTAAAAAAGGTTTCATAGCATTCATAGATCCTCAAGGGCACCTGTGAATCACAGAAGTTTAAGAATACTGTTCTGAATATTAGCCTAAAAGTGAAATCTGTTTACAATAGTGAAATTTTTACTCTGTTGTATCTGAGTGCAAATAGAGTAAAATGACTGAGAATGAAGATGGAAAAAGTGGAGGAAAACTCTCTCCCAATGAAGGACCCTAATGTGTGTCTTTTTGCTAAAGAAGATACAAGTCTTACAAAGAAAATACTTACTTGTTCACCTCGGAGTCCTGGGAGCCCTGGATGTCCTTTGAGGCCCTATGATTAAAAAAAAGAGTAAAGACATGCTATGAAAAGTAAACTCACAGAAGCCAAATAACTAAACATAGTTAATAAACTGCCTTTTACCCTACTTTTTATTTCCTCACCAATATAAATTCAATTCTTACTACTTATTTCTTATAAAATATCATCTTTTTGATTTAATAAGAACCTAATTTTTATTAAAGAACAAAATAATTATTATTAATAATATTAGTTTTCAGCATTATCTGAATGATTTATTATTATCAACTAAACTGGTAGCACAGTATTGCAGAGGGAATAAAGCACATCTTCATGGAAGGCTTGGAGCTAGCAATGAAATTGCGAAGTTTGCTGAAGCTTTCTAAAAGTTGCTTTTAGTTCAATAATGATGAGACGAAATGCCCTTAGGCACAATCTGTTTGCAATCATTGAAAAACTGGACCTGGATCATATCCAGGCAGTTTCTCTCATTGAGATCATCAATGTAACACTCCATGAATAAACTAAGTCAAATGAAAGAAGCTGTTCATGGGTTCATCAAAAGGGGTTCTACAAAGCTGTCTAGGAAATTAGTAACAAAGAATATTTTCCTAATAATAGACCCAAATCAAATCTTAATCTCTCTCATTCACACCAAAGTTATAAAATAAGTAGTATTCTTCTTCCTCTAGAATGATGAAGCAAAACGAAAGATGCTAAAAGAAAGAACAGGGAAAAACAAAAGAAGACTTTGGGGTTCATAGGTACAGTTCTAGTCAACAATTAGTGACCTGACCTACTACTTACAAGATTTTGGTGCCCATAAAAGAACAAGAGAAAGTTCCTTTTCTTAAGAACCTTATAGGATTTTAAGCAAAATATAGTCCAAAACCTGTTACACAATTTGTAAATATAAAAACGATAACAAGTTTTACAGTTTCAGAATACTGTCTGATAGAGTGAAAGAATCCTTTGGAATTATTCACTGAGGGTTTATCAGAAGAAGCAAGTGTAAATCAATGGATTAGAGAAGGAAATAATATTTTGGCTAAAGAATGGGAAAATCAGAAGAGGTCTATCTGAATGACAGCGTTATGTGTATGTGTATAGCATATTAGTAATAAGGAAGTAACAGAAGAAAAAGACTAGAGAGAAGAAGAAAATGCCTGCCTTCTGGGAGCTGGTTTTTTGTGATTAGGCTATTAGAACAAAGTAGGGAAGGAGCCATGGGAAAGAAAAGAACAGGACAGAGGAAACAAATGAGCTTCATTGAACTACTGTGTAACGAATGTTGTGCCAGTCACTTCAGAATATCTAGGTTTATTCTCATGGCAATCTCATGAAGTAGTTATTATCCCCACTTTAATAGATGAGGAAACAGCCCTGAGAAGTTAAAGACTTAACCAAAGTCATACAGGCTTGATAGCTAGATTTACCAAGAACTGAGTGGTTTACCTTCTATTTACTCTATACACTCATAATTATCTCACAATCAGATACAACCTGTCCTCCTCATCAATATATTCAAATTCACTGATGACTGACCACCAAGATGAATAAAAAAATCCAAATTCCCAAATCACAGTATTATATTACATGTTTGTAGCTAATATATCCAGTGTTTTAACTCAGTTTTACTCTAAAGTGTTTACCTCTTTAAAAGGCAGCTAAAGATTAGCCTAATAGGGGCCAGCAGGTGGCGTAGTGGTTAAGATGCTGGACTCCCTCCCATGTGATTGATCACAGTTCAAGTTCCAGATTCAGCAACTTGAAACTCACGCCAGGCATGTCCCAAGAGGAGAACGAAGAAGGGGCATGCCTATACCCCCTGAATAATGATTTCTCACTTTCTGTCTCTCTGTCTCTCCAGCGAGTACATACATCCTATAGTGAAAACAAAACTCTCAAAAATTAAAAAAAAAAGATTAGCCTAATAACAAAATATCAGATATACTATGCTCAGTTGCCAGATGTTTACACAACATTTCACAAATCAAAGTATATAAAGCTGCCTATTTTATTTTCAGTTTTTATAAAAGGAGATAAGAAACAATCTCTGTACTAAGACCATAGCTCCCTGGGATGAAGTAGTACTTCTGGAAGAGTGGGAACTAAAAGTTTCCTAAAATTGTGTTAGAAGATGAGGAATCAGGACTTATAGTAGGAGTCACATAGGATAAGGAAGCTATTTTCTTTTCTTTCTTCTTTTGTAAAAATGTGAATATATTTATTTACTTATTTTGATTTCTGTGAACTCCTGAGTCTAGCTATGTGATTGATTTTATTTGACCACTGCCTGTTCTGATCAGAGTTTCTTTCCTCCCTAACCTACAGTGAAATACAATGAAGTAGTGGTACATCTCCTTTGGCTTACTTTCCTCAAAGCACTATATAACAGTGAAATATATATATTAATTATGGTATCTTCTGAAGTACACTTCACTTCCAAGAGATTCTTCTTCATTCAGACATCCTAATAAAGAGACAGTATCATAAAGTTATGGTGTGTTCTTCATAAACTCATTCCTGGGCTAGAAGATGGCATAGTGGTTAAGGTGTTGGACTCCCAAATGGCTGACTGCAGTTCGAGTCCCAGACCCGGTGGCCTGAAAATTACACTGAGCACAAGAGCATGATGATAAATTCCGGGAGCATGGATAAGGGACTGTGCCTTGCATGGATAAGGGACATGGCTATCTCCTCTGGGGAGTGATTTATCACTTTCCCTCTCACTGTCTCTTTGTCTCCTCTCTGGTGAGTATACATGCCCTATGGTAAAAACCTTTTAAAAATGAAAATAAAATTTCTATCCTATCTCAGGCACAGACGTTGATACTTGATCTAAGGAAAGATAATACAAAAATGGCCAGTACCCTCTAAGGTCACTTGGAATAAAAAAAATTTGCCCACAAAAGACAAGCAAAGTCAATCAATGAATCCTTTTTAAATGAAGTTTAACTTTGAAGAAAACAATAACAACAGAAAAAAATGCAGGTACTTAGTGAGGGAACAGGAGCTGGAAATATTCACAAAAAAAGGTTAAGAGGAAGAGTAGGGGCATTGAGATGCTATAAGAAAGCCAAAATATAAGTAAAAATTAAGAGAAAGCAGAAATTACGTCAAGAAAGAATGTTGTCAGAGGAGAATCAAGCCAACAGGAAAAGACAGATGCAGAGAACACAGTACCAGTTCTAATAGAAACATACAACAAAAGATCACAAATGAATGCTGCTAAGATACTCCAGAGTTGCTTTGAATCAGTGCCTGTCTCCATGAGACCAAGTAATATTATAGTATCTATTTTAAGATTCCATGGGATCCTTATTTTCCTTACTGCTGCAAAGAGAATTAAAGTAACTATTAAAGTAACTCGCTTTCTTCCTTGAGATAGATTAAGTCCCCATTCTTTGCCATCAAGAGTCTAAGTAAAACAATATGCCTGTGTGTGTGTGTGTGTGTGTGTGTGTGTGTGTATGTTTATTGCTGAAAATAATGAAGAACAGATCAAGCATGCTAAATTGTAGATCTAATTTTCCCCTTGTCATATCATGAGCCTCAGTGTCTTCATTTGTAAAATGATGGCACTCAATTAAATGAGCTCAAAATTTATTTTTATTGCTAACATTTTGTGATGCCTAGAATTTGCAAGAATATCATCCTCCTCCCCTTTTTTCTTTTTATCTGTCGCTGAATGAAAAAGCAAAGTCAGATAATAAAGGTTTGGAGATATAAGAATGATTTATGTAAGACATCAGAGAAAACCCAGATTCAAAACAAAGATGAGAAGTTTGGGATTAACACAATGATAGTGAGTGAGTTGAGTAGAGGCTATTATGACAGTCTAGATAAAAGATGATCATAAATTAGACGAAGGTGTAGAGTTAGATATGGTATATAAGCTCCTTAAAGAGCTTAGGCTTAATGTAAACTCCTTGTCTATTTCATTCAATGTGGTATTCCCAGTGCCTAGAGCAGTGCCTGGTACACAGTAGGTGCTAATTAACTGACAGACAGGCTAGGATAAGTGAACGAATTGATGAAAAGATTTCTATGGATTTGAGAATTGGTGTTTATGAACCACCTATGTGTAGTTAACATGCCTGCCCACTAAGTATGATATGAGGAATAACTTCTGCTTATCTTCAAGCCTCACTGCAGATTTCACTTTCCCTGCAGCCAGCACCCAAAGCCTCTCCTCCAGGAAGTTTACGTAACCTTCAACTACGTCATACAGTATCTTCATCATTGTACTTGCCATAGCATAATATCCTCTTATGATTTATGTTTGTATTTGTTTCATTTTTAAAACAGTAAGCTATTTGAAGGCAGGAAGTTCTACTTTTATTCAAAGAATACTGGTTTTCTGAATGAATTACAGGGTTAAAAAAAAGTGATTAAAATAACTGCACCATTTGGAGCCAGCAAGTGGCATGATGATTAAGGCACTGGATTCCCACATGATCAACCATGGTTCAAGTCCCAGACTGGAGGCTTGAAAATCATGCCAGACGTATATGTGTATATGTGTGTGTGCCCAAAATCCCAAGAGGAGAATGGACAAAAAGGGACTGCACCCCTGAGGGGTGATTTCTCACTTTCCTTCTTATTGTCTCTCTTGTCTCTCTCTGGTGAGTGCACAAGCCCTATTGCAAAAACCTTTAAAAAAATAAATAAAATAACTGCAGCACACTAGGGTTAGTGACAGCATGCATCTGAGAAAGAAAGCTGCTCTTTTCTAGAGACAGCTCTCCTAGATCTTTTGCTTCTGTCACTCTTAAGAAGTTGAGACAAAGGACGGGAACCAGCAGTTAGCGTAATGGCTATGTCTGTCTCTATGTCTCTCTCTGTCTGTCTGGCGAGCGCACGCGCCCTACAGTGAAAATCTCTCCAAAAAAAAAAAAAAAAGAAGTTGAGACAAAGGTGAGCCAACTATTGTGCATAATCATCTAAGAGGCAGCATGACTGAGTTAGTAGGAACAGGTTAAGTAAACCTATTCAGCTGATTTGAAATGGATAGGTGTTTGAAGCCAGAG